TCGAAAAGTGGCTCGTGAACTGAGTTTGATGAGCTAACAAGCCAAGCTAGCACAGACTCGACTCATTAGCTCATGAGTCGGCTCGTTTAAAAAAATAATAATATAAAATACACTCAAAATATATTAAATTGGAAGAATTTATCTTTAAAGTATTAAAATTGTTTAAAGAATAATATTTCTATTTTATATTAAGTCATTTCTTATTATTTCTCTCTTAATTCTTCATTCTTTTATCATTTTTTTAATAACTATCTTAAATTAATATTATTTTCCCCTTTTATAATAAACAAGCCAACTGGAACTCGTAGACTTGAAAGCACGACCTCGAGCTCGAAGTCAATAAGATTAATCAAATTCAAGCTCAAGCCGAGGGCGGCTGGAGCTCGACTTGATTTGTTTACACCCCTATCTAACACCTAAACTTTAATTTTTATGCCACATAACCTATGCATGCATGAAAAGGTGTACTTCATTCCTTAAAAGTTAAAATAGTATAACTGTATAAAGTTTAGAAATTAGTAAATACATAGGAATTGGATGGTATGTAAATGCCCTTTAAAATGATTAATTATCGCCTCACCTGGGCGAATGAGAAGGCGATTGCGATCGAGAGCTAGAGCGAGAATAATGCCTCCTTGGGCTCCTGCTTCGGCTCCGTCCATGGCTTCTGCTGCGACGATGCCTTCTGTAGCAAAACATTAGATTGGAGAGACTTCAAATAATTGAGCTGGTCAGGCCATGAAACTAAAGTGATGTTTTTTGCACGCGAGCAAAGATACATTAATACCTTGCCGGGGAACGACTTCGGCTTCGGCTTCTGCTATGACTACGGCGTCTGTGGCGGCTTAATCTGTTCGTTTCAGCAAGTTTTTCCAGTCTTTGTCGTTCCTGCTCGCGCTTCTTTGCCATTTCAGCGGCAGAATCCTTCTTGACTATTAAAATTCATTTGGGTATACTAATATAAAAATCAATTCCATAAAAAAGAAAGTGGCATGTACATACAAGCTACCTGATTCCTATGTATTTACAAACTAACACCTAACCTTTACTTTTTACATTTATACCAACAGGATCTTTCATATCACATAAAAATACCACTAATTTGACATTTAAAAAGCGAAATAAACATTTTCATGCATACATAAGGTGGCATATATGTAAAGTTTACGTGTTAGATATGTAAAATACATATGATTGAATGGTATGTATGTAAATCTTCCAAAAAGAGAACAAGGATTGTAGCACGATGATTAAGATCTCTTACTCTGTTTATTCAGTTGTTTGTTCATTATCCTTTTAAGCCGCTCTTGAGGTGTTTCCTTCTTTTCAATCTGCTCGGCCTTCAGGGATCCCCCTGGAGCAGCCTTGGTGAGTTTTGCAATTCCAGTGGTGCTAGATGCAAAAGAAAAAAAGAAAAAAATAAATGCAATTGACATTAACAATAATCATAAAACTCATGGAAACATACAAACATAAATCAAATAAGCTAATGGGTCATTTGGGCTCACTTTCATTTTTTATTTTTCATTTACATATATACCACCCAATTCCTATGTACTTCCATATCTAACAGTTAAACTGATTTTTTACATTTAGACTACCCAAATCTTCCATATCACTTCAAAACTATCACCATTATGCATGTAAAAATTTAAGTTAGGCGTTAAGCATGTAAATACATAGGAATGAAGTGGAGTGGTATGTCTGAAAATCTTCCGTTTTTTTTATTTTATTTTCCTTATTTTATTATTTGAAACAAAATATATTTGGTAATTTAAAAAAATTAATTGTTTGAAAAACACTCAAAATGAAGAAAATATAATTTGAGAAATTTTTAATCAAAAAAAAAATTTAAAACACGGAAAAAACACTAAAAAACATGCTTT